GAGAGAGAGAGAGAGAGAGAGAGAGACGGGCGGGCGGGCCGGCGGAAAAAAGCGCTATACCGATTTTTGCCCTTCTTCTCGAATCTCCTCATTCAGCGTGATGAACCCGTTGCGATACACATGAGATACACGGAATTTGATAATCACGCGTGATACGTGTCACATTACATTTATTATTCTCGATAATGTGAAAAGAGAAAAAATACATACGTGTGACTTCGTTGATCCTTGTCTTATCAATTTTAACATTTTTCTGCGCGGCGAATTAAAAGATTCGAGAGAAGAGTTGCGCGGCGATAAATTATTACAAAATCCAATTTTTTTTATACGAAATAATTTAGGCTTTGGTGGAAAGAATCGCTTGTGGGAAGAACCGATTAAATAACGCTGCATTTCAGAGAATTATAAGGGAGCTCGGAACTGTTCGTCTGTAATGTATATAATCTCGTCCTTAAAATTATCCCTTGCATACAATTTCTCGCGCTGAATCCGTGGATGTACGATTTTAATCCGATATACTTTGGCCATCCATGTACGCATCGGCTGGTTTGAATCCGGTTGCTTGCAATTATTTATCTGCTAAAAAAAAAAAAAAGAAAGATAAGTAGCTCCTACATCGTATTTTATATCGGGCGGAAACGTTTACGCAAATTTACGGGGAATTAACGTTAGAGAAAATGCATTAACGCTTTTATATGCGTTTCCACCGTGGTTGTACAAATCTGTGGCGCATTTAAATTAAGAGTATTCGCGAAAAAGTATTTCTTCAACTTGCTTGCGCCGTACACTCATGAACAGACACGACAGGAAAGCTTGGAATATTTTTTAAGATACAAAAAAAAGATCTACAAATAAAATAACGTAATTATGGAAATATTACGCGATCGCGCAATTTTAAAACGTTGGAATAATAAGATTGTGTGATAATAGTTAAATAGAAGTTTTCGCAAATATCTATAAATGACAATTTTCGAGATGAGATCAAGCGTACAAAACTTCGAATCGATTTTTTTTCGTAGAACATTATTGGGATCGAATAATTTCATGCTCGCGCTGTAACACGAGCCTTTAGTGCAAAGAAGCTCATTGTAGCGATCAATTGATACACATCCTTTAATTTCCGACGCCGCGAAATTCGAGCCTGCAGAGAGGATTAATGGGAGTCTTCTCTCGCTTACGCTACTGCCCGCAGCTGTTGCCCGTCTCGAAGGCGAGCGCGAAACGGAAAGAGTGAGACGCGTCGCGTCGCGTCGGGCGACAGAGCGCTCTCGGTGGGGTAACGAATTGCAAATTAATAGCGAGCATTTACATTTCTGCTGGCGCAACGAAGGCGCACGTGAGGATCGAAAGTCGCAGGCGCACGGCGTTGGTTTTCCGGTTTTCCCTTCGCGACATCTTCCCCGACGCGTATTACTCGGCGTCATATACATGTAAATCGAGACTTCTTGCGACATTTTGTTTCTTAAAAATTATTGAAACAATTAGGAGCTCGTATCTATTAGATTTGCATTTTATAATAGGTATAATACATATTTGCGATAAATGGTTGATATTATAATCAGAATAATCAGAAATCTTTTTATGAGTAGTCAAAATGATAGATTTTTTGTTGGCATTTTTATTGACGTGGTTGGTAAGGAATATAAAATTATAAGCATTTTAAATTGAAATAGGGGGATGAAGAGATTGCCAGCATTTCATGTTATACTATGTTGGGGCATTTAATATGTTGGTTGTGTATTCAAAAAAGAACTTGTTCTATTTAATTATTTTATCTGTTTGAAAATATCTCTTAATAAAGTAAATGAAGAATTACATGTTCGCATGTATCAAATACTGTAAAATGATTAAGGGCTAATAAACGACCAAAAAGTAGTTGTCAGAAATTAAATTCGTGTATTAATTTAAATATAAAAATGGAACATTTTAACTACACCGAGTTTTCATCAGCCAAGTAAGTTAATTATACATTTAAAACTGAGATCGAATAAAGAACGATAAAGAAATACGATTAAAACTTGAGAACAATAACACATTGGAATACTATAAATAAATAGAGAAAGAAAGTCAACATTGATAAAACATAATAAAATATCTCTTAAGATTCGTCACTTTTCAAGCAGAAGCTGGGTCTCCGGGGAAACGGTTGCGAATATTTTCGCACATGTACAGCGCGAGTGGTCATCTACCTGGTCCGCCGATCGATGATCGTTAATTGCGAGTCGTGAAAACGAAAGAGCTCGCAAGTAAGGGCGGGAAAAAGGGGTGAGGGTGAGGGGCGAGGGAGGAGGAGGTTGGGAAAGGTACCGATATTGAATTAGAAGCGATAAATCCCACCCTGCCATGCCGACTTCGGTATTGGGGCAAGAGAGGGCACGACGGAATAAGGGGCTCGACGAGAAGAACTTCGACTGGGTGGTCGCGAGTGGCGGGAACGGCGATAAAGAAAGCAGTGAAACGAATATTAAAAGTCGAAACCGATGTGATCGGGCGGGACCAATCGGTCTCCAGTCCATGCGCGACCTGATTCAGGAGAAAAACTCAACACACTTTCTTCTTTCTAATGTATTTGGAAACTTTTCGTTTATAAATAAATGGGTCTACGGTTTCTAAAATTTATGCAAACAGTATTACACATCACTTTTATGACTTCAAAACATTTATACTGACATTTTATAAGATGGGAGATAAACCGGAGTGTCTTATTTATCATGATTATTACAGTAAAATCTTAATCTTACTCGGTTCCATCTGAAGAAGAATTAATGAGAACCCAATGAGATCACTCCGAGTGATCTTATTGATAAAGAAAAATACACGTTTGCGTATTACAAGAAAAGGAAAATAGGTATATATCCATGTATGTGACAGAAAATAACGAAAGGGTTAACGAGAGCACGATCCTTTTGTGTGTTCGCAGAGCTGCGTGCAGTTCCTACGATCCAACGAGTCCGCCGTTCTCGAGGCCGTAGGGCTGGTACCGTCCGGCGAGTCCGTCGAGGTCTTCGGCGAGCACGGGGGTGCGAACGGGATCGGCGGCGGTAATCAGTGCTCCGCTCATTACGCCATGCGCTCGAATTCTAATCCCGGCGTCGGCGCCATTCAGCACGCGGTGGGCAGTAACGCCGCGGGCGCGTTGCACCATTATCCTGGCGCTGCTCATGCACCGAAACGCCGTGCCTCCGACACCCCGTGAGTGTGAACACGCATCGCCTTGTACTCGCAGATGCACACCGATGGTTCTCAACCGTTAGACAGATCGCTATTTGGCTGTGCCAATTAATTATTTCAGACGGAGGGAATGAACGGATTCAATTTGGTTGGCTCGTTAATTAATTTTAATTAATTTTGAGGCGCCAATATACGAGTCGACAGTACGAATGTACATGCGATAAACTAGCGGTTTTTGGAAACAGAACTGTTTGAAAGAAAAAACAAATAGTTTATTGCACATATATATATCCGTATCCCAGGTTCGTATTGGCCTCGAATTGGAATTATAATTAATTATTTTATCCTCCTAGTTCTCCGTCTTACGAATCTGTGTTTGAAAAATCTACCCTATAATTCGTAACTAGTTACTTATTTATTAGAATATAAAAATAATTATAATTATAATATCTATGTACATTAAAGAGGCAAACACGATAATTTTCTCTCCACACGATCAACGAAGGAAAATATTTACGAGTTAGGAGGTGCGCAAATTATCACGGAAATTGTGCTCCTCATGCAGCAAGATCGCGTGGAATCTTCGCTTGTCCATAACGGTAATTCACGCGATAATAAACGCCATGCAGCTGCGGCCGCGCGTGTAATACGTTTGCCAAACCACAAATGCTGTACCTAATTTCGGAAAAATCTTGGCCGCCGGCCTGAATACCTCGGCCGATATTTATCGCAATCGAACATCCATTAATGCGACCCTGATTCCACTGCACTAATATTGATTATAGTTCACGCGAAAGTGTCCCAAAATGCTAAGATGAAATCTCAGCAGTTCCGAATAAAAGTTCGCAATTTATATATCTGTACCTTGAAGGTAAAGAATCGTATCTCCAGTTTTTCAGGTCAGGTACAGCGTTATTGGCAGTTGTATTATTAAACGTGTCAGTTAAATTATTTTATTAAAAACTCAATAAATTAAATTGCTACTGTTATTTTATATCTAAAAAAATATTTCCCTATTTAACTCTATTTTTGTCTGAATTTATAGTAAAAGAGATACGATTCTTTACCTCTAAGGTACAGATATAGAGTATACCAGATTTTCAAGTATTTTAAAGTCTAATTCTTTAACATTTAGATTGCATTTTCTGTTTAACATATCAAGATATTAATATTTATTGAATTGTAAGTCGTTACGAGTACGAATAGAAGAAGAAGAGTAATTTCGATCGAGATTTCTTAATGCGCACTCGTTGCCAGCCTCCGTTGCGGAGCGAGGCGTTGATGAAATCAACGGCCGGACAGCCGGGATTTCTGGTCAGGATGATATGCAGTACGTAGACGGAGTAGGAGAGAAAGGGGCGCCACGAAGCGAATACGAAGGCGACAAAACGCGTCCTGGCAATACCACCCTGGCCTCCTCTCGATATGTCTGCCAGTGACGTTTCCATATATCATCGGGGCACCACCTTTCCCGAACACCCCACCGCGTCCCCGCGCGCACCTCTTCGCCCACGAGTACCGACGAACTTGCCTCGAGTGCCTATTGGCATCCTGCTAATACACACCGGATCGCACACGTGTCGACGAGCGTGGGTGTACACGTAGACAGTCGTCTTTAATTCGCAGGCAAACCCCCGTACGAACTGCAGTACGCCCAAACAATTCGCCGTGCAAAAGTAAAAGCGTTCTGTATAACGGACAATGCAACGGGCTGAGCAATAAGTTAAAGAATATTCGTGTTCCGATGATTAAAAGATGTCGTAAAGTACGTCGTCCTTTAAATCTTTCTAATACTGTCGATTAGCGTAGGCTAATAATTGAAGCGTTAATTCTGTCAGGGTTAACACACCTTGTCGTTCTTACATGCTTTAATTTTCTTCTTGCTAATGTTAGCGAATCTTAATGCGCTTCTAGATACTACGAGAACGGTGTTCTTCTGGACGATATGCCGGTATACGGCAAGAGGTCTGTTAATCCTTGGAGCCATCACCATCAACAGCAGCAGCAGCAGCAGCAACAGCAGCAACAGCAGCAGCCGACGGATCCGTCCTATTGCTGGTACCATCCGTTGCACTCCTCGGGCGGATCGATTCAAGGTCACGCGCACGGCCACGGTCACGGGCCGAGCCCGATGCCGCCTAGTCTCGTGCAGATTAATCAGATAAACGCGTTCTCCGCGCCGCATCATCTGACTCAGCAGCCACAACAGTCAATGGGCCACAGCTTGCAAACGCAGAACGGTGGCAGCCTCGACGACGAGTGGAAGAATATCCACGTGATGCTCAACTGCATCCTCGGCATGGTCGAAAAGACGAAGAGGGCATTGGCGATCCTCCAGCGACGGGGATGTTCCAGCCCGGCGGCCGCGGCGCCTCCGCCAGGTGTGGTTGCAGCGCAGAATGGTTGCAGCAATAACGGCAGCAGTAACGGCAATAATCCCTCGTCGACCAACGGTGTGCAAGTCGAGTCGTCCACCGGCGATCGAGATGGTAGTCTGAAGCGATTGTCCGGCGAGATTGTCGCGCAGACGATCAGGGTGACCGAGGACAGGGTAGCCGAGGTCAAACGACGAGCCGGTAGGTATCTTCGCGCTTCGTGAAAATCTTTAACTTTATCATATCGAGAAGTTGTGCTAACAAACCGCTTAAGTACTTTAATAAAATTATTAGTTTTTATAGACGATATTAGAAAGATCATTATCTAATGATGAAAATGTAATAAATAAGGCGGTATTAAACAGTAATGATGTTAATCGAAAATTGATTTCACTGAATTTTCCAGAGGAAGCTGTGTTAGAAGTGAAAAGGGCCGCGGTGGCGGAGGTGCAACGCGCCGTAGCGGTTGCGGTTGCGGAATCGAGGGCGAACGAACGTTTGAGGGTCCACCGATTACTGGATCTTCCTCTGTCCCAAAGAAATCCGGGTAGCCTCCGCCAGGGCCCTTTCCTGAGAGTTCACGGAAATTCGAGCGCGGTCGAGACCGGCGCCAGAAACGTTACGACACCGACGACGACGCCGAATTCGGCGCCGTCGACCACTGAAGATGAAAAAGACATCCACCTCACGAGCATGATGGGATCCGTAAGTGTAACCGTTTGCAAAAATCTTAAAATGCAGACTACATGTTTAGGTATTTACAATATATCTTTCAAGTAGAAAAAAATCTATTTTTGTATTAAAGTTCTAGAAAATAAGCGTAGCTTTATAGGATTGTCTAATTATCGTTATCATAGTATATACTAAATAATCAGATTTTTTAATTCCATTTTTTTTCAGCTATCAAATTTCATCTCTCTCATGACACTATACAATTCGTATCACGTCTTAATATTTTGTACGTTGGTACGTTGTATCTTTTCTTGGACTTCGTTGTTTTCCGAGTTAGCGCTTAAATATTTAAATAGAAATTGGCCGAGAGCTAAGAGCGCACGAATCCTCATCTCTTTTTCAGAGCTGTTGGAATTGCGGCAGGCCCGCCCTGGAGACCTGCGGTGGATGCGGGATCGCCCGGTACTGCGGCTCCTTCTGCCAGCATCGCGACTGGGAGGCCGGTCATCATACGACGTGCAACAATCTGCCGCCGCGCGAGCCGCGAAGATCGGCGTCGCGCAGCCCGCCGAGGATCGCTGCCGCGAATCTCTCGACGAATGTCAACGAGGTCGACGCCGCGCCGGTACCGCCCGCCGCCGGGGTCGCGAAGGGGAAGTGACGTCGCGGTATTAGGAACAGCCAGCGATCCACCAGATCGATCGACTACGAGTCACGCTGATCGCGCCGTATCCCCACAAAGACTCTCCTCTGTAAATGAATGTATGAATTGAAATGAACCGAGAGGAACTTGTTCCTGTGAAGTCGAATACCTGATCCTCGAAATCGGGGATTGACTCGAAGTTGTTGGATGTTTGTTTTGTCCCGTCCGCTCTCTCCGTGAGAATTAAGATGAAAAAAGGACGGAAAAAAGGTGAGAGTCAATACTTAATTTTGATAAATAGGTATTCATATGTTCACAAGATGAATTCCTGCGCCCATTTTTTTTAATTCATTCATCGTCTACAGTGTTTTTACCGATCATACATCTTCTGCGTACTGTATTTGTCGTACTGCCCTTTTCTTTTCATGAAACTGATCGGAGATTTCTTTTGTAACATATTTGGATACGTGGACGAGTAAGAACGAGAGATAAGAATTTCTCTAATCCAACATATCTACGAAAAAATTGATTGTACACTTGTCGAGAATGTCTCACTGTCACGATCGAACTGGTATCGAAAAATACTGGTTCCACGATCAGTTTATTCGTTGTATAGGTCTCTAATTCCGACATTTCGATCAGTTGAACATATGCAATGACAAATAAAATTCACGATTATTTAATCAATTAGAAAACTCGAATATTTAAATAATCGATCGATTTGATACGTTATTAATCTTTCGATTATATTAAAATAACGTTACCTACTCAAATAGTACATGAAAGTTTAAAAGAACGGCTGAAGGATTAGAGCATCTTTGGGAAACTATGTTGCTCGAGTGCAATTCGATAGTTTAAAACTTAACATTTTAACAATTTAAATGATTTTAAGAGAGATTTTATTTTGTACTGTCAAATAATGATAAAAAATAGCCAAAAATGCGATAGCGAGAAGCGAAAAAACTTCTTCGATTACACGCTTTGAATGAAACGTCGGATTTGATAAACCCGTTTTAAGATTTTATCGATTAATGACACAAAATGAATAACTGATTTCACAAGTAGCGTAATTGATCATACGAGCGTTTGCGTTTTCCGGATAAATAACGCCGGCGAGATATGCATAAATATTGTCGTAAATGTTTGTCAGCGTCGTGCCAGAGCCGTTTCTCCTTTCTCTCCTCCACCGAGAATCGCAGATTTCCAATGCATTTATTATCTAGGCTTAAACCAAACAATAGAAATAATGCGTGTCTTAAACGATTTCTGCAATTGAAAGAGTAAAATAGATAACCGTGAATCCGATCAATGAATCGCAGATGTGCGTTTCGCGTTGTTCTGAATTGATATTAGCGATAAATGTAGCGTTTACGAAAATAACTCTCCTAATAGTGTAGACGTTTCTTCATTTCGCCGTTAACAAGTTAAAAATTCTTCAATATACACGAAGCTGAGCTGAAAAACGCGCTCTCGTCCAGTTAGGAGACTTTATTTGGACGCGACTTAGAAAATGCACTTCTTCCTTCGATTATTCGAAGCTATTTAACGGAACGCAAAACTTTTACTGTCCTTGATATCGGTTGAATCTACGATGCATGAAATTATGACACTGCACGAATTAATTTCTCTTTTTCTCCTCTTCAAACGATCGAGTAATATGTGTTCTCTCACATCGATGTAAACTTTTTACTATATCTCGATATTACACTACGGAATATCGTCGTAAAAATAATATATATCGCAAGATGAAGTTGATATATACATGCACACAACAAACATAGCTACAATACACACCGAGTGATTTGATTTTATTACATGCCTACGCTCATCTCGATGTTTCGTACACGACGAGAGAACGAACCGCATCGATTTTATCCTAGTCAATTGATAGGTTTAACGATTGTAACGATTGTATAAATGTAACTTGAGAGTCTCTCGAAATCCTTTACTTTGCGCGCGCACGCATCTCAGGATATGATTATCACGTATATTTAAGTCTAGTCAACACGGGAAGACGAAGCGGATTTTATCGGTCATACGCATTAGGGAACTTTGCTCAAATCTAGACTACGAATTATTGTAATTTTTCCTAGGCACATTGCGTTGCGGGGATGTATGATGGATCCTATAAAGTGTATTTATAAATTAACGAAATATATGATTATTCTATGTCAGAATGTAAGAAACAATACCAGCAGTCTCTTTTACTGTATTGCATGGAAAAATTTAATTAGATAAATTGGATTCAAATAGGCTTATAATTATTTCTCAGTATAAAAGACCTAATTAGTGTTTGATATTTCAATAAAAAATATATTTTGTCATTTATATAACACGCACACGCGTACATATATATATATATATATATATATATATATATATATATATATATATATA